CTTGACATTTCAGTTAAAAGCTTTGAATGAAAAATAATTTAAATTACATTTCAAATTTTTATTATATTTGAAAGATTTCGGATGGCGAATATTCAGCTACACAACAGCATATATAAAAGTCCGTAATATGAATTAGCGCAAGAAAACTTACAAATTACAAATATAAATGTGATTTGTTGTACGTGACTTACGCATTATGCTTTATAAGATTGACGATATAACAAAAACTATACAATGTGAATGTATTATGTATAACATTTATAGAGATAACATAATGTGCAATTAATCGATGTTTTTATTCAAATATAATTATACGTAATATAGAATTAAAAATTGGAAAGACCACAATACATATTTCAATATATTTGAAGATAGATTAAACTTTTAGTTTTTATTACATTTAATACTTATGAAGTAAGAAAGTGAAATTTCATTTTGGATAATTATTCAGAAATGTAATATTTTCTACTCATTACTTGTGAAAGATCTTCTCTTCTAATTTCTCAGAAACCTATAAAATAATTATCTTGTGTAAAAATTCAAAATTTTAAAAGTAAAAATTTGTAATTTAGATATTAAATTATGAAACATTTTTTTGCAATATACAAAGTAACATAAAAAAAATTGAATTTTACATAGAAATTTCAGTGTTTCTAAGCATGTTTTATAATATAATTGAAAAGTAACATATATATGAAAAAGAGCAATAGCATAGTCAATCAATTTATTCGGTGATTGATAGAATAACACATGCTTTGATATCTAATTATAACTGTATGCAAGCTTGAATAATATTTGCATCTCTCGGTATATTGCCCCATATGTATATACCTGCGATCAAATCGTAGTCAGGATAAAGCAATATTATGCGAGCTCCATTAAAGGGCTTTATGGAAGTTAATACAATTACGATATCTACTAGAATGTAGGTGCATTGTCCCGCAAGGCATACGATTTGGACTACTTGATCCCGTAGTGTGTCCTCTTCCTCATCCTTCACTTCCAACACTACTCTACCTCGTCATTCGAGTTTCCGCCTTAGGATCGTTCGATTATTGCCACAAGTGAAGCGTAACATCGTGAACGAGGATTAATCAGCGAGTTTCCGGGACCTTCAGCTCGATCATTCGTGCACTCAATGAAGAAAACGCACACGACTACGACCCGAACTGTAATGTGGTAAAGCTGCACGGGCACAGATACACACTCAAACGATCACATAGGACCAAAGATGAATTACACGTCAGCCGCAACAAAACACATAAATTGCACCCTGCGACTGCTCGAACGCTAAATCTCCGCAAAAACTATCACTTCTGTCTCAATGCCGCAAAAATTGTGTTACACGAATTACTGACAACTTCCCTAAGAATGACGAGGAGAAAAAATAGTAGACTACAACCTAAGGTCGCGAAAGTATTGGCAAGTCCATGGCGTATACTTGTAAATTGACACCCGAGGCTATGAGTTTGCTAATATCGCGACCATGGGTAGTACACAATTTTTTCCCGGCCACCGCTCAGTCGGTAACATGTTAATTTCGACCCCGTTGGCCACAACAAATGGTATTCGATCCATAGCCGCGATATTAGCAGGCTCATAGCACCTATTTGACACTCTCGGCTTCATATCGGATATTCATTTACATACGCTATAGACTTGTCAATACTTTTGCAGTCTGGGATTATAATCTATAATTTAAATTATACTTTGGGATACTGAAAATTCCTTTGTCACGGAAGTATTTTTGTATGCAAGTCAGTGTGAGCTGATTTGCTTTGATTATAGTTTAGAATAATATATTACGTATCAGTTATCTAAACACTTTGATTGTTAAACCTGAAACAAGATCCTGTTATAATTTACTTATTTCGATAGACAAACAAAAATTTTATTTATATTTTTACCAACAGTTACGTTTATGTAATGAACGACTCACTTTCGAATGTGCAAATCTTGACGGGAACTAAACAGTTAGAATTTTCTACATGTATATGATTTCATATTTTTTAATTAATTAACTCGTTCTTTTGATTTTCTTCTTTTTGGCCCATTTAACACTATCTTTTACATTAATGAAAATGTCTTATTATTTGAAACGATCTGATAGAATTAGCTGCTGGCTTGTTAAGTATTACAAAACTAAAAATAAAAGAGGATTGGCAAACGATCTGAATAACTGCGAAAGCTTGTAAAAATAATTAGAAAGTGCTGAAAGCAACGAACTGTTTCAATCGCGCGAGAAAACAAAATTATATTAGTATAATTAAGTGCACATACAATTTAGTTTCTATTTCATAGCGTCTAAGTTTAAAGTATTCAAATAGAAATGTTATAAATTTTCACATCAATTTCCCTTTAATTGTATCATAATCAATATTAAATAATAATAAGTCGAAATAAATCTTCAAAGATGTACTCAATCACAATATTATTTAATGACTGAGTAAATCAAAGAGTATAAAGTCATCTCTCGTGATACTAATTGTTATATTATAGGATAATTATTTGTCATTGGATATAAATCGAGTTGCGTACCCATTGTTGGCACAAATCTGATAGTGACCCATGATATTAATGTCAATATAAATAATGTTATACACATCTACAGATTTCCTAAATAGTAGGGAGCGAACGTAATGCCTAAATTTTTACTTTTACATCAACAAATAAAAAGTTTATGAAATTCTTATCTTATTCAATTTTTTCGATATATAATTTTTAAAAACGTCAAGTACTATTGCATTTCGATAATAGTACAAGAAAATGATTTGAGCCTCTTATGGACTCTACTCTCACTTCGTTTGAACGCAAACGGCCACACAAGGGTTCGATCACCTTCTTCTAGTAGTATATCGAAATGTACTATTTCGACCAATCTAACCTCCAAAACTTGATAACACAATTATGTGCGAAATCACGACAATTTTCATTCTACAACAATTGTTACGATAGTTGTTGATTTAGATAGGAAACATCTCAAACAGAACATGCGAGTGCAATGAGCTAAACAAACTCCCAAGCAAACCATACGCAAAATAAGAACAATACAATTGTATAATTGAATAACATAATATTACCGGTAATGGAAAAACCCTTAAGACGATAAAGATTTCTACTTTGAAGAGATGGATCCTTCAGTTAAAAGAGCTTGTCTCTTCAACCGGCTTGACAAGTAGATGTTTCATGATGATTCAAAGATTTCAAGATGCACTAATTTAAGAGATCGATTTTTTGACCATGAGCGAAGGACTAGCCCGGTTGAAGAGGTTGCTATTCTAAGCAGAAAAAAATGTTAGACGAAAAAGATTTTCACGAGGCATGTCCTTAGTCGGATATATTAGAGATGTACCCGTTTGAAGACATCTGTCTCTTCTTACCTCTTTTTTTAAGTTTGTAGAGACGACAATCTGAAAAAGTAGGGAGCGGGACGGTAATTTCAATGTGGCTCGATTGTTAAGAAATTTTTGTTTGTTGTTTTTGTTTGTTATTTTTTCAGTTTAATTGCTTATTACTTTTTTTTAGTTTGTTGTGTTGCCAGCTTGTTACCGATATGACATGCTGTAATCTACTTTAAGTTTATTAAATAAAGCTACTGTTCTTGATCCTTTTTCTAATAAATAGCGTTGCATTTATTGCGTGAGTGTGTGGTCTAACTTCTCTTTCGAAATATAAAGCAACTTTAATTAAGATCGTTCGCGTCAAAGTGCCGTAATCAAAAAGCTCATGCGTGACAGATAACAAATGCAGAGGCGCGTGCGAGTGAAAATAAATTCTCATCCTGCCAATTATATACATTATAGCGCGTGAATACTACGCACATGGGACTCATTCGTCAAATAACTTATTTTCATTAAACAGCAATCCTACGAGCGCGCGTGTAGTATAATTTTCGTTGAATTCAAAATCGAGATAACTTTGTTGATTATGCTTTCTCCATACATAGCTTATTTGCGTTTTCGACACATATATACCTCTCTATTTTCGACGATGAAAGTTGATTAATACGCGACCCGCACGACATATCCGATCGAATTATAGTGCGGTACGCGTGTACGTACGCTATGACTCTCGTTCTCTCTCTCTCTCTCTCTCTCTCTATCTCGAACGAATATTCTCATTGATTGGCGATATAGCAGCAAACAGGTGTCCAACGAATTTTGCGTTATAACTAATTTTCATGTCAACGAAAGAAGAGGAAGAAGCCATAATATACTCATTGAATAGGTCTAATTATTGTTCATTACCGTAAAATCTTAGTATTGAATTTTTTACTAATTTATTACTTACTGTAAATTATTATTTTACTCAATCTACTTTGTTTTCTGTTATTTTCTGAACTTAAAATCGTTGTTTTATCGTACCAAGACGATGAAAATAATCGATCATCAATAAAACTCAACGATACTTACTCATTCTATATTTCTGTATGCTGTATATTTAATACGCGAATGCTACCATCGAAATGTTGGTGCTATTTACCGCAGTAGAATTAATCAAATAAAAGTTTGAGCTTCTTTTCTGATTTCGAAAAACCTTTAATCGTGACATTGTGTTTATGGCCTGCTGACCCTTTTAAAAGAAAAGATCGAAGTTAAACACAAAAGAGGGGATGCACTTGTACAAGGCAGCAGCAACAGCATAGTTTCTCTTAAAATGCAAAATAGAAAGAGATTTCACCGCCGAAGGAAGTTGGCTGTACCAGCCTCCGGCGGTATGCGATGTTAAGCGATTTCAAAGTCGATGCCTCGCGGTGATGGGCCCGCGTTCACGTTCACGGCCTGTACTTAGCGACAATCGATCGATCGGCCGATCCGCAAGGTAGTTGCCAGCTCTCATCCGAAACTTTTCTCAATCTTCCAACAAAAGTATGTAGAGTAGCTCTTTCTCTATCGTGTACAAGCCCCGAGGGCGGACACTTTGAATCAGTAAACGTGTAGGAAAGTTCGCAACTGTACACCCTACATATATGAACGTAGCATAGACGACCTGATACTCACCTCGAAGATCGACGTCGACGACAGCGACGACGAAGCTTTGAAGCGAGCTAATTGCCGTGGAAACTAAGTCTTCTATATACTAGAATTCCTCGAAGCTGACACTAACACAAGTACACACGCACAAACATGTGCGCAACGCCTATAGAGGAGGGAGGAGGTGAGACAAAACAGTGAAAAAAAGCACAAAAGACAAAAGTCTTGCGGAGAAGAGAACTTGCGCGGAAAGCGCGCGCTCACGCTCGGCCCGGTAAACATTCACTGCTCCATCGTAAGCGCGTGCACTCGGTAAAAGGAGCCCACTTCTCTCTATACCGTGGACTGCAGAGGCGCTCGTCCATACGCGGAATTCCAACTGGCGGAGGAATGCGAGGAGCGGTGAACGACGTAACCACGTCTCTCCGCGCGCTGCTCGATCTGTTCTCTCTGTACATGTTGAACAGCGGAGACGATTGGTCTGCTGCTCTTTTTCGCTACTGTAGTTCTTACATATACATACTTCCTACATATATATAGGTATATATATATTTACCGGGTTACAGACTCTTATAGTATGCTTAGAATAACTTATTTTTAGGTCGACGAATCCGCGTATTTTCTAGATTATGTCTTTTTATAAAGAAAACTACAGCTAAGGTATCCAAAAAGTTCATTATCAATTTGATCTAATATTTTTAATCAATAATTTTAGATTAACCATGAATGCTTAAGATGTCAATAATGACTTGAAAAATGAACTCTGTACATAATAGTATTTATTGTTACTCAGTAAAATTATCCTTCTGTAAAAGTAAAATTGTATTAATAATAATAAAGTCAAAATATCTCATTTATGGTTTATTGAAAAATAAAACATAATATCTATCTAATAATCTGTAATATTCCATTGTCCATTCTAGCAAATTTCTATTATTATTTGTACATACAAACGAATTATTTCTATTTTAATTTCATATACGTCCAGCAATGTATGAATTGTGTAAAGTTTGTTTTCAAATTATAAATCAATTTATCACATAATAAATATAAATAAATATTAACCAATTAAATTTATCATACAATACGTATTCCATAACTTCGTTCCTTACATTTTATTGAAATCACAGCTTTTTAATATGAATTGAATATTTTATAAATCTTTCCAAAAAAATTTGGTGTTAGCATTTTTTGGATTTACAATCCGCCAAATTAATATTATTTTATTGTAGTGATTCGAATATGTAGCTTCCTCTTTTACCAACAGCAATTAGTTAATTTTGTATTCATAATATAACATAATATATATAATATTATTTTTTTACCTTAAGTTTAAGCTGTATTTCAATTGCAGTAACATTTATATAATAATAATTCATAGTTGATAGCATTTTGAGCCTCGCAAAATTACATAGTGATGTTATTTTTTTATTTATGCAATTTAATCCATATAAGATTATTATGCTGAAAACATTGGCTATAAATGATAAACAAATTGGATAAAATACAGTTTACATAGTTGCATTACCGTGTAATATATTCGGTAAGTTTTAATATACTTACTACATTTTACTAGTTTTGACACTATAATTTGACAGAAAGATAGAGGAAGAAATGGTGGATGAGATTTAAGATGACACAAGTCGCTGAGAAGTTTAACACGTGGATTATTATATATAGGATAATACCAGAGAATATGATCCAAATGTTGCGTGATATTGCTGCACTGACAGTTCAGAGTTGTTAGGCTTAATTTGTTAAAGCGTTGAGACCATAATGCTCCGAACGGCACCTGTTAACCACAATATAACTTCTCTTGGGAGGTTTAAGTTAGCGAACCAAAGCTTGAATTGAAATGAATTTCGTGAAATATTCTTTGCTTTTAACTTGAGCTTGCGACATAAGAATAGCGTTAGTGTTAAAAAAGGTGAATGTCCTACATTTCTCTCGGAAGTAAGTATACGGTATCTTAACTGAGATATCAGAAGCTAGAAGAAAAGCTTCTTTGGCTAGAACGTTAGCGTTTTCACTGTCTTCAATGCCATGGTGAGTCAGGATTAAAAGAAGTTGATGATGTTTGATCTTTGCGTAGTGAAATCAAGATACTTTCTTGATTATTTTAATATATTCTTTTAATTTTGAATATACAAAAGTTATTATGAGCGGACATGTTGACTTTTTATAGGAAAAGAAAAGCACTTACAATTAATGAGTCTGAAAAGTTAGATTAGTTATTAAAAGGATCATTTAAGCTATATCCAGAGCTTGAATTGTAAGGAAAAATGCAACTGTAAAGATCATAAAGACATTTTTGCATAAGCTTATATCTGTTGAGAGCAGGGCAGATGTAAGCACTTTCTACTGAAGCAGAGTGGGGATTTTTGCGGCCATGAATATAGCGATCGAATCGCTTTTTGAGATGAGGTCATTGACATTAGTGTTAGAATTATTTAAGTTTTTTAATGAGTAACCTATGTCTGTGATGATGTTCAGGTTGAGGGTAATGAATTCATATTTTGGAATGAACATTTTATATAACCGTAGCTGGAGTTCTCCGAGTCACGGAGTTCTCTGGTGTAAGTGGAAATAATACGTTGAATGAGTGAGAGACTGTTATTTAGGAAATAGGTAGTTTTGGTTTAGCATGTTTCTTTTGAAACGGTAAATTTTATAGAATAGTGGAAACTTAGTATTTAAAGTTACTTTGTATAAATAGCAGTAATAAATAGTATAAATAGGAGATTTTCTCGATCGGCACCGTTTAGTTTGTTATCAAGAGTAAAACCTAGAAACCTTAAAGATTCGCTGGATATCAAGGTGATATTGTCAACGGCAATTTCAGAAGAGCTTGACGAAATATTTTGACAATTAAATTGCAAGTGTACGATTTTAGTTGGACAAAATTGAAGACCTAGATTCAAGAGCCGTTGGTAAATTTTATTTATAGTTTTTTTTCAGTAGGTTATTACCTGTATTTTGATCTTTTAGTTAAAGTAAATAGCGATATTATCAGTAAACTGAGAAATATTAACGCTTTTGGGCAGGTTGTCGACAATATTAGCCACGTTTAGAAGCAGTAGAGGAGGAAGCTTAAGATGCTACAACACCTCGATGATCTGTCGTAGATACCCAACCTAGACTATCAGTGTGAATGATTCTTTGAGTCAGCAGAAACTGAATTAACTTGATGAGGCTAAAAAAATAACCAATATCTGCCAATTTTTTGCAAAACTGTCTATTTCCACCTTATTAAAGATACCACTCATGTCTAGGAAAGTAGCCAAGACACTATTTTTGTTTGTGATAATATAAGCCTCTTCGGCAAATATAAGAAAGTTTGTGCGGTAATCAGTTATAGATTTTCCTTTCTGAAATTCCGCTTGACTGAGGAAATAGATTGAAATATTCAATTCACCTCTGCATTGCTTTTTAATTACCGTATTTTCAAAGAGCTTCCATATGCACGATGTAAGAACTATGACATATACGTATTTACCATCAGCTTTATTAATAAAATGGATAAATGAGTTTTTTCAGTTGACCAGATAACAATCAGTTGAGTACATTTCGTTGACAAGGTCGAGAAGAACAAGTTTATATATAAGATGCAGTCTTTGGATAGTTTCAAAGTCGAAACCATCCATTTTGGGTGAAGATTTGCCGTTTTTGCTTTCAAGAGCTACATTAACTTTTGTGAAATTAAAGAAAGAGTAGAGAAATTGATTTTCCTTGCACAAGCGGGCAGGTGGTGTGGCCAGGTTTTACTTGGGCCGATTTATTTTTTAGGATTTTGCAAGCATTCCATACATAGCTGTTATTAGTTTTAAGATTAATTTTGCTAGTGAAAGCTCTGTAATAGGCAATTATTTTTTTTTATATTTTAGAAGCTCGGGTGCAAGATGTTTTTTTGTAAGAAAACGCCAGCGTATGAAAGTGACTGTTCTAATTCGTTTAAACTTGTCCCACTTTTCTTGTCCCACCACATACCTCTTTTACGATATATTTTACTACTAACCGTTTTTTTTTCCTTTTTTCTTAGACGAGTTGTTTGCAATAGTCTATGTTATAATTTCTATAAAAATATAAAAATCTGAGCCCAGATGTCTTTGGCAAGTTCAAAGTCGATTTTACGAGCTATATTGGAAACTAAAAAAATAAGATCAAAATTTGACGAGGAAGAGCCCTAGACACGGATGGTGATATTAGTTTTATATAGAATGAGATTTGATTTATTTAAATTTTCAGGTAATATTTCGTCATTAGCACAATTCTTTAATCAGTTGCAGTCTTGATGACGCGAGTTAATGTCGCCTAAACAAATAGTGAAGACATTTTTGTCAGTGTTAATAAAAATTTTGTCCTATTGAGCTTCGAAAAGAGCACTACCTGGGACTCGGTAACAGATAATTAGATGAAGAACGGGACGAGCATTCGTTATACGTACATACACCGGCTATTTCGACTAACGGGTCCAGGCTTTTAAGATCGGTGATTTTCTCCTTGTTGGTTACATTATTACGTAGTATAAGGTGAAAATGCCACCATGAAGTGTGGGCAATTTTTGCGAAAAATCTTAAATCCTATGAAACGACAATGCTTTGTATTATTAGAGAGCCACTACTCAAGACAAGCGAAAATGTCAAGATCCTGGAAAGCTTTAATGAGGTTTTCTTGTTTGTTTATAATGCTTCTTGGATTCCAAAACAAAAACCTAAGAGCTTTTACGTTAGTGGAAGAACTTTGTGACATACTCGGGTGAAAATTGCTATTTAGTGGTACATTATCAATCAAAATAAGTTTTTTATGCCATTACGGCTTTTTTACTTCAAGTACGCTTCAATTACCTTTCATTATAACTTTCTATAATATTCGGTAGAAGAAAAACTTCATTTAAATAAAATAAAAACAAAAATTTTAATTAAGATATCGGTGCCATTCTAGTGCCGCTTTAGTATTCGTTCATCTACTTTTTGAACTTTGGATTAATGTCATGCAAGATTACAGTTGAGATTACTGCCTTTTTATTTTTTCGAAAGGGAAGTCTGATTTTAAGCCTTGTATCGTTTCCAGCTTTGTATTATTTCCTCTGATGAGTTTTTCATTAAGCCAGTGTTATTTAGAAACATGCATACACTGTTGTCAGATATCTTTGATCTAGATTTGATGTTGTTCAGCTTAGGTAAGCATTTTAAAGCTTAATATAGTCCTTAATAGCAGCACTTTTAATGGTATCGCTGACGATGGCGTTATCCTTCTTTAGAAAAGACGATTGAACTGTGATATTCGCATAACTATTAGTGTTCTATGAGAAAGAAACACTGAAAAATAGGTTTGCAGACTTGTCATTATTATCCGACACCACTGCAGGAGATGGGTAATGTATTTCAAATTACAACCACAGCTTAAGAGCAAAAATTTTGATATCTGATCACTAAAGAATTACACTACAGCACCATTACGAAATAAATCGCATTAAATACATTCAGATAAGAGGAATAGCACAGACATAAGTACGTAGAGAGAATATTAATGCAGCGCTCGTAAACACGTCTGTTCGCTTCGGTGTTTCGAACGTGATTTCTATATTTCATTAGAGATGTTATATTTTAGTAGCAAGGTATTTATGCTCCTTTTTTAAATTATTCAAAGAGACTTTGCATAACAGTACAATTTGTTTCTCTACATTAAAACTCTACAAAATTTATTAATACGCATGCTATATAAGTATGTCATATTCCGCGTACACACTCATGGATAAATAGTTGGATAAAAATAAATGAAGGAATAACAGATATCAATACACTATGCAAGTATTATTCACTATTTAATATTCAATGAAGTTTTGATCTCAAAATTATCGGCAAACTAAAGGTAGAACTTATATGTCCTGAATAATAATTACGTTCGGGTTTCATTTCTTCTACTTATTAATATTCTAGTGAGTTGTCAGCTGTCGAATAATAATCTTGAAGTCATTATAATTATTTTAACACATACCTTGCATATATCACATGAACAAAATGAAAGTATATAGAATAAGAAAATATAGATTTAAAAAAATACATTTATTTTCAAAGATACTTATTTTTGAATAAAAGTATGAATATTTTTATAGTTCGCGACAAATTTATCAATAATAATAATATGGCAAAAATGTCGGTATAGACATTTACATGTGTTATCTACCGTATTAAAAAGTTTTTCTCCAAATATCTTTGTAAATAAGAAGTATAACTTTCTGATATAATTTTTTTAATTTACGTAACTTGCATCACACTATAAGCATTCCTATATATGAAAAGCAAATTGAATATTTTATTTATTATCGAATAATATTTTTCAACAATTATTTAATATACCTTTATAATCTCATAATAAAAATTTTGAAAATCGCGCTTATACAAGATTCAATAGCAACACTGTAAGATGTCACATATGCATATATATACTTACATTGTGGAATGTGGCAACGTTGGAAAGTCGGCGAAACAGCAAGAGCATTTACATTATCCTCTTCTCGTTCATTTTGTAAGGAGCACTGCCAAGCGTTGTGTGCGGCGAGTTAGCGCAACTTTTAACGCTGCTATACCTGTAGGCCATTCGAATTAAGATTCTCCCCACCATGGATGCCACGAGGTTAGCTTTTCAGGTTAGAGTAAACTTTTTTCTTCACAAATTAATTTTCCAAACGTTAAAACAATTTATAAATAGTTATGTATTTATTTACAATATTAGATTTCATCATAAATTAATAACAAAATGAACAGTGAATCGGAAGAATCCGATTCTTGTGTTAGCCACGTGGCTAAGCAATTGACTTTAGAGGAAATTGATAAGATGAAGGCCCAAAATTCACGTTTAGTTTCCGATTTTCAAGCAATGCAATTAGAAAAAAATGCAAAAAAGCACTGGGACTTATTTTATAAAAGAAACGAGGTTCGATTTTTCAAAGATAGACATTGGACCACACGTGAATTCCAAGAGCTGTTAGGGTTAGAAAATCCAAAGAATGCGCAAACTTTATTGGAAATTGGTTGCGGAGTAGGCAATTTAATTTATCCATTATTAGAAGATAATATTAATTTTAAAAAAATATATGCTTGTGATTTGTCTCCAAGAGCAGTCGAATTTGTTAAAGTGAGTTGTTTGATCGTATTAGATTTGGTTTTAATTCAACTTATTTATGGACAATTTTTATTCAGGGTCATAAATTATATAATCCAGATAAAGTTGAAGCTTTCCAAAATGACGTCACCGTTGAAAATTGCTTTGAAGAAGTTCATTTACCAATTAATATTGCTACATTAGTGTTTGTTTTGTCTACGATACATCCAGATAAAATGAAAAGGTGAATAGTTTTCCAGATAAACATAATAGTCATTTATTATTTATTTCAGTTGGCATATATTGTATCTTTTTTATCTACAGTGTAATAAAAAATTTATATCAATGTATGACTGAAAATGGAATAGCACTATTTAGAGATTATGGAAGATTTGATATGGCACAATTACGTTTCAAACCAGGACATAAAATATCTGAAAATTTTTACATGCGGCAAGATGGCACAAGGTTTGTGTATGTTGACATATATATATTTCTCAAATTTGATTTTTCTATCATGTGATAGATAATTTATAAATTCAATGATGAATTCATAGTTCAGCTGAAACATTCTTGATGCATTACTTAGCATGTCTTTCGCTCCTATCTGACATTTTATTTGTATTAATTTTTATTGTTTAGTGTTTTACTGGATAGAGAATAATAATCTATTTTATTTCAGGAGCTATTACTTTACTACTGAAGAAGTACAAGATTTGTTTGAATCAAATGGTTTTGAAACTGTAAGCTGCATATACATACAGAGACGAACAGTGAATTTAAAAGAAAATATTGATGTTCCAAGAATATTTGTTCAAGGAAAATTTATGAAAAAATTACAATGGTGGGTTATGACTATTTGAGTATCATCTGTCATCAATGTATCAAATTTATCTAGTTTATGTGATGATTTCATAGTTCAACTGAAAAGTGATTAATGAAATTTTTGTTTTTTGCTCCTATTTGAATATTCATAAAGATGCAATGTGTTATTCAATTATTTAAATATAAATATCAATGTCAATGACTTTTACTAATATTTTATTTCTTATTTCAGATGTTGCATAGATATTTAAAGGAACTTTTATGGAAAAATTGAACTTTATAAATGCATGTCATTGCTGGAAATATTGTTGGATATGGTAAATTATTTAACGAACTTATCTAAACTATACAAATAAAATATACAAAATGATGATTTCATAGTTCAACTGCAAATATTATGATGACATTTTATTTATGTCTTTCGCTCCTAGCTGAATGATTTATGAAAAACTCTTTTAAATAACTGGTGGTGTGCAAGTACTTCATTATAATTATTTGATTTTAGAAAGCAGTAATGGAAGTAGCAGTAGAAGTAGTCTTTCATATTGTCTTTATGCTAACATACTATGGACAAACATTTCAAAAGTTTTATATCGTAAGTTAACCTGGTTATTTTTGGTTTTATATAGCTATATAAAAATTATAAATTTTTTTATGTTTTTTTCTTTATTTTTGTCATAGGTAACTCTGAAAGTGTAAGAGAATAAAGAATATGCCAGATGGATGTCAATTTAGAAAAATAATGAGGATTTTTCTGGAACTGTTTCACAAATAATGAGTATGTTTCTTTCAAATGCATTATCTCTACTGTATATTGTATTATCAACAGTGCAAATAAAAATATTAGATCTAGAAATTTTATTTAACTATTCTGTGATGAGGTTCTGTGTTTGAATAAGTAATGATAAACAATACATTTCGTCACTACCACTGAGCAATTTTGCTAATCAATAACTATGTCATGTATTTGTTTCAATAATTAATAATGGATAACTTTTAGGTCACAGTCATTTTTGTGTAGCAGCCTAGTCAGAGATGGAGTTGTAAAGGACAATAAAATTTGGTAACTTTCTAATTTCATTGAACACAATACATTGTTATTTTTCTAGTTTATTGAATTTCTATGATGATTTACTATAATTCATATCAATCTTTCGTGAATGATTTACATAGTATTAGCTCTATCTGAAATTTGATGTAAATGAAAATCTATTCTCTCACCGCATGCATAGTAGATAAAACAAGATATGTTTTTTTGTATTCCAGATGACTTTGGAAGCCATTAAATTCAACTATGGTGAACTGAATATTATGTTGAAAAATTTATTTTTAATTAATTCATGTAAATATATTTTTTACAATAAAAAACTTATTATTAATAAAAGAAATCAAAACTTTTGGTATTCTTAGAATACAGTAGTTTTACACTAGATACAAAAAAGTAAAATGATAAATGATTTTTTGATTTACAATTATGAACTTATTAAAAATTGATCAATGTTATTATAATAACATTTACTTATTGATGCCTATGAAATTTCAATTGAATTAGAATTTGGATGCTGAAGTCTTTTATGCAATGATTTGAAGATTTTCTGTTTGATTTCTAATTCGAAATTCGGAGTAAATTAAGTCATTAATATTGAAGCATGCCGCAATTATATTACTTTAATTTATATTTGTCAAGAAGTTATGAAATAGATGGTATTTTAAGAATTTTCAAGTTGAAACTGGATAAAGCGATATTAATTAATTTTAACAAGAAGAAAAATCACAAGTATAAAGGTAAGGTACGTTTTTAAGATCATACTTATTTCAAATAAAAAATGCGTATGTTATAACTCATCTTTTATTCTAATAAGAAAGTATTTCCGAATAAACATTTAAATACATGAGTTCAGTACTTGAATACATTAGTTTTTACATTATATAAGCATGAAGTTGAATGTATTATTATATTCATTGCATTAACTAACATACTGTTATAGTGTAAGTTAACAAGTTAGATTTTTTTGTTTAATTTAGCTTTCAGTTCTTCCAGTAATTGACGACTTTTTGGATCTGTATGTTTATTCCACAATTCAATTCTTTGTTCTTCTATATTTTGCAAAAATAACGTTTCTCTGAAATAATAAAAACATATTTGTATAACTCAGGACAAATGTCAAAGTGATATTTAAAACAAATAATTTATTTATGTAAATCTCCGGCATATTCAGTTACAAAGTTATTTGTTCATATTTTTGCATGTGTATCAATTAACAGTTTTTGAACAATATTGAATATTCTAAAAATATATATAAATCTTCTATAGCTCACAGAATTTACTGAAAATTTTTTAACTAAAAGAATATGCGTCATAGCTGTATGTAAAACAAAAAAAATACATGTTTTCACCTATTCATATCTCATTACAGTTTATCAGCTTGGTTTCCGCAATGATAAAAATTTATTTTCATAGACATTAATCTGAACTTTTAAGAGTAATGATAAAATTAAAAATTATAAATGGATAAAAAATATGATGCTTGTATATCAATCTTACTGTTTATCAGAAACATTAAAAAATCATTGATTAATAGAATAAGAAATCTCAAACGAATTTCAACTACTCAAATTACATATCAATATAGAAATAATAAACAAAATTAATATGTACCTATATCATTTAATAGCTTTATAAGTTCATTTCACCTTGTTACAAAACATCCAATTACTCAATCATTATAGCAAAATTATTTTCAAGTTAGTTTTATTATTATTGAAAGATACAAGCAGCCGAATGTTCAATGTAAGATAGAATAATTACATTTTCCCATTCAGTTATTTATTCTCATACAAATTACTTTCTCAACAAAATAAAAATGTATACATCAAATTTTTTAAGAAGTTTCCTTACAAAATTATTCATAATCTTAAATCATTAAAAATTTGTATATAAACATTGCTGTATATACATACTTCACTAACTATAATGCATGTTTATAAATAAAATCTCTCCTGAAAATTTGTAACTTTCATAGTTAGTTATTTAAGAAAATTATAAAATCTATTTCAAATCATTTCAAATGTATTAATTAAAAATTGAGCAATTTTTAATTTGCAAAAGAAATTACGTTCTTTAACCATAAAGTTAAATCCACGCAAAAGAAATTTGAACAGTTGTTTGTGCTAACACTTTTTTTGAATGAAGTTTATTATTTATCTTCTTTATCTTCTATCTTCCTCTTATAAAAAAGAGAAGCGGACAAAGTAAAGCCAGTTTATTCGTGATGTGATTGGTTAAAATATGATAGTATATATGTTGTGTACGCTTATGAAAGATTACTAAAGATTTTTGTAGATGATTGAATTTTCGAAAAATACATCAATATAGTTCGTATAATGTAGTATGAAATGATTTATTTAAACATTGTATTAACCCAACACAACCTTGTCAGAAATAATTTATGCATGAAATTATAATAAATAGAAATCACATTAGTAACCTATGCTAACAGTTATTTACAAGTTACAAACGTGCACAAACGTCAGATTTTGGACACATATATCAATTATAAACAGTTATTTTCTCTTTCAAAATCTGTCATTATTAAATAACAACATTTTTTTTAGTTACTATTGGTTATTTGTATTTTTATTCTCTAAAATACATTAATTTTTTTGTGAAATATTGAAATATTAGAAAATTTTCTTTCAAATACACTATAATCACAACTGTGAAAGTCTATCGAAACATGTTATCTACATTGTAAATGATGATTGTAGAAAACTATAATCTGTTTAAAATGTATATTACATTTTTTATTGTGTTTTTAAAACTTTTTGATGATTTTTCATCACTGAACTTTGTATAATAAAAACTTAAAACGTCTTAGATAATGAGTATCAACGTAACTACATATCTATTTACTAATAAATAATCGTCGGTTACATATATCAGATCATGGAAACATTTAATGCATATTGAATTTTCAACTTCGGGAATAAAAGTTTTGATCTAGATTCGTACCTTAAGGAAATGACATAGTTCTGTTTTACCGACTTTTTCTTTGGGGCATTTTCTTCTAAAATATGCATGGGAGAACGTTCATACTTCAACTTATAATTGATTATTAAATAATGAAGCGAACCCTACTAAAAATTCTTACACCAGTTCTAATGTAAGAAACATCGCTAGATCCCGTAGGATGTTTTTGCCTCCTATTTCTTATACTTGAACCTATTCTCATGCAAGATCCAATATAAGAAATATATAAAAATGACTCGTATTCTATTCTCATGAAAGATCTAATGCATAAAATTGTTTTTACATATGATCTAACGTATGGTCAGATCATATATAAGAAACCAAATTTTTATCAACATTTATAATAAACAATGGTGATTGCTTTGGTAACGTGAACAGACTAGAATACAAGTCATTTTTATATATTTCTTATATTGGATCTTGAATGAGAACAGGTTCAAGCATAAGAAATAGGGGGCGAAAACATCCCACGGGATCTAGCGATGTTTCTTACATTAGAACTGATCTAAGAATTTTTAGTAGGGAAAATTGTTTATTTCCACAGTAACATTTCATGGCGACTGTTTATTTTTTGAAATAAAATTATTATTCCAATTTCGTTTAGAAATATAATTTTTGTTAATTTCATCAACGAGTCGATCGGCACTTCGTTTTATTATCTAATAATCGCTTATTAGCCAAAGTACGAACATGCCCTTCAATGTGTATTTTAGAAAAAAATATGTCCCAAAGAAAAGTTGGCAAAACAGAGATGGCCTCTTAAAATTAATGCGAAAAAGAAGAAAAAGATGAGCGTGCAAAGGGCGTTAGATATCACTTGTATTATAAAAATTGTCAATTTTTAAGTATAGACTGCCCTCGTTTTGATTCGTTGTGATTCTTATATCGATGTAAAAATTGCAAAAATTCAATTATCTTCTCTCCATCGTCATCATTCTTTTTCTTGGTACCGATATGAAAGCATAAGAAGCTGTTATAATGGAAATAATTTTGTATTTGTTTTCAAATAAATATTTTGTGTAGTTTTCAATTTAGCCATTGATTAATTAGTTAGCTAATACATCTAATGATTTCGTTTTTAATACCATAAAGTTCAGATTTCACTAAATGCTATTGAAATAATGATCAATATTTATACGCTTGTAGGTTAATCGCATAGATGAATTTCTCACCTATTTATAAATGCGTACGTCATCACAACCATCCCAAGGCCAAATAGAACTGGGTACCTGGTATATCTGGTCAACATTTTACATTAAAAAATTATACTTTGCAATTATTATCGTGCTACAAATAGTAAACGATCTGCCGCTGAAATTAAATCAAGACGCAATAAATACATCTGCTACGGCAGACAGATGAAATGACCTATATGCGCATGCGCCAGAGTATGGAGCGACGGACGAAACTGACCAAACTTTCAAACTTTTAATTTATGCACTATCGAATAAGGTATTGAGAAGCTCGATGGATATTTTGTGTTCTTAAATTTAAAAAAACTAATGTTATTTAGCGCTTTACGTGCTCTTTTATGTTTTTCTGTTATTTATTACATCATCAATATTCATTGATAAATAAAAATAGAATTTACACCAATTTTTTCACAAAAGCCGATGAACTTGTACTTATTTCAAGATGTATCGAAAAAATTATCCAAAAGATCAACTAAATCTATGATTGATAAAATATACTGAGCTATTATACTATTATACAATACTATACTTTATATACTCATTAGTAGTGATTACGGCTCCATTTTTATATTATTATAAGTGATACATTTAATATAATGTATTTTTTGTTGCTTTGTTAAAAACATCAGTGAATATTCTTCTAATTTAACAGGTTCAATATTCCGCTAATAAGTTCCCCTTCTTGCATACCACTTAATGTACTATTTACAAAGGGTAAAAAAGTATTTGCCTCTATTTTATTCTATTCACTTTCTCTCTCTTCTAATCAAATGTTAAACCGACAATACTAATTTCAGTATCACAGTTGCTTATAAAATTATCAATTTATAATGATAATTTAAAAAAATAACGTCTTATATTCTTAAAATGAATTATTATTGGAATACTTTTATTTTAGCATATAATATAAATATTTCATAGTATATACATTTTTAGTGTTAAAATTACGCCAGTAACTGCATTTTGTTTTATTTTTGATTCAAAATTTTGACTATAGGTAATGGTCGTGTACGTAAATATTATACACATTATGATTATGCACAAGCGAATACGTAAACTATTTTTCTGTCATGTTTGAGCTTTGAAAATTGTATCACTATGCATAAAAATCTCAAGCTAATGAAATTACAAATTTAAGATTCAGTAAATTTAAATGTTTTCAAAGCTCTACAGGGTCATGAACTGTATTAAACTCTATTTCAGTAGTACTTCCATGTATTCATTCAATGGTCACTAGTCTAATTTATTGATACTAATGAATGAATAATGAACAAATTAATAATTAAAGATATACAGTGTCTACTTTAAGCATTACAATAATTAATTACTTTTACTATCATGTTATTGGCACGTCCCAAATGCGTCAAGTTTGTTATTTATCGCTTTTCCAATAATTGTTTTGTTCTGCGATTACGTGTGAAGATCGCACTTTTTAGGTGTATATTTCTCAACAGCACATAATTTATAAGAGTTTACCAAACGAAAACAATGATTAAGAAAAAAAAGTAGTACAATGTAAAGCTCAGGTGCTCAATTAAGTATAAACGATTCACCATTATGGTTAGATTTATTTCTATTTTATTAATTACTTAAGCTTAATGATCATTCATTTACTGGTAGGCATTCATTTATTGAAGCAATTATCTCTATAGGTCAAAATTAAATATTAGTAAATTATAAACCAAGACATATTTTATAACATATTTTGGGACGTCTTGAATGCGTCAATCGGTCGAATTTGATTCGGTATTCAAATTAATGATATCTTTTTGTTGGTTATTAAATTGAAAATATCTATTATAAAATCATAAAAAATCACATTTTTTTATTGATTTCAGAATTTTTACTTCGTGAATAACACCTCCACAAATAAAAGTTTAGTGTCACAAAATATTGCTAATGGAAATAAGTAATTAAAAACTTATAACACACCGTACAATGTTAAATTCATAAAACTAAGAGCGCATAAATAGTTTGAATATTTGAAAAATTGGTTTCTTAATTCATGAAGTTTTTAACGAAATTTTCAACTTTATGTAGTTTACGTAGTATTTTATATGACATCTATAACTAAGCATGAATTTTTTATATCATAAAATATGCATTATCTATAAACAATTGATAACGCTAAAGCCACTAAATATAATTATTTTATTGAAATATAAATTTTATTAAGCTATTTATTATTTTACATTGCGGCGGTATCAATTTAAATACCTGAAATTCGATTGTAATTGAATTGAACATGAGTGTTCTTGTCATGAAATTATGCCGTATATATAATAGTAGCAAGTGAAAGGACTTTCAGAATCACATGTACTTTGCACAAGAATTATAACGTTTTGTTTTTATTTCCTGATCTACGACGTTAATTTAAGACAACTTCATTTATCAAATAAATCTCTTTTAAAATATATCAACTCCATGAATTAAAATCAGCTTACCTTTATATTATTGGTAATACAAAGAAATATTATTGAAACTCAACACACTTATTATTCTAATGACAATGTTCAATAATGCTTCAATCAACGAATGTGTCATGATGCTTCTATTATATTGGATAAGCGTTTATCGATAAATACTTTTGTCGTAATTTTCGATATTACTACAACTATCAGTTATGTGTGTGTGTGTGTATTCGTAATTAACTGTAAATATGTAAATTTCGAATGTTTTTTAAGTATAATTGTCTATGCTAACATGATGCTAATCTAATATTGAAATTCCTCAGAATTTGGTACATAATTCTAATTGGATCAATAGTAAATGAGAAAATTCTTAAATAATTAATTGCTATGAAATTAGCGAATTTTACTCTAGAAATAGTAAATTATTCGATGTAGTAATTCATATTACGATTCCTTTTCTTCCTAATTTACGTAACACCAAGGGGTCGATTTATGGTTTGCTACGTAAAGTAAATGATGTGAATTCTTCAATACCTCAGAGGAGGTTAAAATTAAGGCAAAATATATTCAGTATTCTTTTAATTTCATTACGTAAAAAGTACTATTTTTCAAACATTCCTAACTTATTTCAATGTACCTGAATTTTATCAGATGTAAAAAATGTTCTATGGTTCTATGCTTTTTTTTTTGAGACAGAGTGTACATAAATTACAGAGAAGAACAACATACATATGACGCTCACGTATGGAGCATAAGCAATGCACGTCATTTTTTGGTGATATGCTGGTGCACATTGAATAACTGGTTGGACTTTAAATTCAACGTACAAAATCAGTCAAGGACCAAATTTTTGAGAAATCAAGAGACGTAACATTTTCTAATCAGCAGGCAAATAGTTCGTCACACAAAAAAAAGAAGAGAACTAATGTGAGACCTCATACAAATGCGTAGTCCGATGGTCGAAGCTCAGCCTAATAATTAGTTAGCTATAATCAAATGTCTCTGTGACGAAAAAATACGTGACAGTCATGCATCGAAGCGTGAACAATGATTAGCATTTAAGCATCCTCCACACCGTGTTGAGAGTTACTCGTTAACTAGCATATATCTAAAACTGGCTAGCTCCCTCGGTCATTATGACAAGGTTTAATACTGAATGGACGAACGCGCATTGTAAAGCGCGCTTTCGTGCCATGTTTGGCGGACGGCCAAGGCTCTCTCGCGCTCAAAGAGCAGCTCCTTGCCCAATAACTGCCTCGCATAGTCAAGTCCATAAAGGTGACGAACGCGCGTGGCGAACACCTTGGAAAACAATGAGAGCGCGTGAGTACGCCTCTGAACAACCCCCACGGCACGCGACGACGCGACGTCCTCGTGCATTGATCAATCCACGCGTTTTGTTTATGCGAGCAACGCGCCATGCGGATCATTTGCCGTCTGTCTCTCCGACTATATAAACTAGACGAAATATCCGAGGAGCATCATTCAGCTCTCGAGCTTCATCAAGTAGTCTGTTAACCATACAGCACCGCACCGCCAACTACCAAACCTTCAACATGAAATTCGTTACTGTAAGTACATATATCTTACATTAGAAATCATTTGAACGGAGTATATGTTAATTTGACTTTTCTATAATAACATGCACGTTTTTAAAAAGAAATTGCAATTCGGAAACTAAATTATTACGGATATTTTTTAGCAGAGTAAATAATACAGAATAATTTTTTAACAAATAAAACCATAAAACACGAAAAATACGAATATTAAGCTTTTATTCAAACATCGAATACGATTCTCTATGTAGTGGTGCAATTTTATCTAGTAGCTACTTAAATATTGAACACACAATCAGAAAAATGGAAATTGGACGAAAACGTGCAGTGATTGAGCTCTTTTTTTATATATTGATAAATAAATAATCAACTAATAGAAGTCAATGTATATTTGAATAATATATTATTAAATGATTCAAATTCATTTTTTAAACATACCATTAAGACAGTGTCAAAAACCCCATTTATAATAAATAACTAACAATAAAAAATTATTCAAATTATCAATCACTTCACTTTTATCATTTTACTTTCAGAATTTAGAACAAAAGTAAAATTAATTCTCTGACAGAAATAAGATTTTCATTTTAAATCATCTTTATCTGACAAGAAAACTTTCTCTGTTATTCATCGGAATTTCTTTTGTAGCAAAAATCTTTTGCCACAAAAGGACTTTTTTCCAAGTGTAGAAAAATTAAAGATAATTCTAAATCCTGAATAGTTTGCATTGAATAAATGATTGATTAAAATGTCATCACGGTAAAATAAAAGTCAAATCGTAAAATAGTATGATCTACAGTTTTTTTTTAAATTAATAAATAACAATTACATATTAATAGAAAATAATTAGCCGAAAGTGATTTATTTTATAAAATTGAAGATTTGAATAGCGTTATTTTAGTAATTTACTAAACAATACAATAATTTTTTCTACAATAGAAAGAAATTGGATACAGAATTTGTTCAATATTAGCACGAACAACTTTTACACAAGAGTTATTAATTTTATAAACACGCAAATGTGTGTAATGAAAAATTGACATCTAGTTGTATATATATAATCACTATATAATGATATCTTTCTCTAATGACGAGTTTCGATTTCATCATTTAACACTTATTATTCTTAAGTCATTAATACTCTACGAACAAATCATCTTACGAGAACGCAATTGAACGGACAAGGCACTTACAATGCACCACGAGCCTACTTTGATGACACACGAAATTTAAATGAAAAACAAGAGTGTGTAAGAGTTGTTAATATTCTGCAGGTTGTCCTCTTACTGGCCTTCGTCGCCGTGGCATGTGCCGCTAAGTTGCCACTCGTCGAATCGGACAAATTGCAGCCAGAAGCTGAAGCAAAGGAGTCTAAAGTCGCCGATCCAAGGGACAAGCGCAGTCTTATCTACGGCTATGCTGCACCTTACGCCGCAGCTTACGCCTACCCGTATGCCGCTTATAGTTACCCATACGCTTATGCTGCTCCGGTAGCCTACAGTTCAGCCTACTATCCAAGCTACTACAGCTCTTACTACGTGGGTTAGATACAACATATATGAGCAACGCATATAGAGATTAGATTGTAAGCTGACTCACAAGTGCTGTTATCATTGTGTCTGACGGCATTAATTTGTACATATACAAGCAACGAACACGATGTTGATGATTACTTAATAGTGCAAGACCTTTTGATAATTGTGTTCAATGTGCTTCACTGAAAATTGTTTAGTATTGAACTTTTTTTTGCCAGCACTAAATATGTATTAACTAATATAGTATTATCTGTAACTTTTAAAATATAACTATACCTGCATAATTGGGTATTTCTTTTTACATACCATATCTCTATTTATGACGAAGATAATTTAGATTACTACACCACATATACGTATTAAAATATTCAATGAAAAATCAAAATTATCAGATTTTAAGCAGTTATATATTAAAAAATATTATACAATACTCTATATTATATTACAATTTTTTTTTCTAAGAAAATTATTAGAATGTTGAGAATTTTGACACACTGCACTACTTGAATGCTATTTTACGGATAAGCACTTATTCCGTATTCTCAAAGACCTGAGGACACTCTGAAGACTTTCACTAAGATACGTACAAGTCTATGCGTGACCAGAATGAAGCTTTATAATTTACGCGAGCAACTGATGAGAATGCATGGTATATTATGTACGGGAATTCCGGTGACTTTACTAAAATACATTATTGAAAAACATAAAGCTACTATTCATACATGAATAGATAACAAATCACAAAGTTTTACACTTCTCCATAAGTTTATTTATAATTTATTTATATTATAATTTATTTATATCACTTAAAAATATTGCTCCAATAGATACTTCAATAGAGAAGTTTTTATTAGCGGGTTTTTCAAAATTTATTCAATCATGTACAAATACTTTTTTAAGTTTAATATGTGTATTACATTAGTTTATCAATTTTAGTCCAGAGTATAAAAGGATTTTATAAAATTATATGATGGAATCATTGAAAAGACGTACTTAGAATAGAGAACTAGTAAATTAAAGTATGAATGACTGTAAAAATATATATAAATACGAATACAAAATTAGAAGGATTGCTACTTTCTGTGAGCATATAAAATCAAATTATTGTTTCGAACAGTTTTTTTAATTAAAAATTATCATGACTAACCTACATAAACTTTTATTTTTATGATACAATTTTCTTACAAACTGTCGAAACTTTTCCTTTCTCTACACTAATTTGTCTACAACGCATGTTCGTAAAATGTGCTTAAAGCTTTCATATCATTCGGATAGCTGAAGAAATTTAGTAATAGAAAACGAAGCGAATTTAACATTCACGTGTACAACTTGTAATTAGTACGTGACTTCTAGATAGAGTGTCTAACCCGTGTAGTGCAGACGACGACATCGTAGTAATGAATCAATGTAGTGTTCAAAATCCGGAACTTCCTCGATTTAAAGGTTGATATATCGTACTCGACGATAGCCATGTGTTAGCGTCTGTGTGTTTGTATGTGTGTCTGAGCTCACGAATCTTGAACGGCTAGCGTTGCTCAAGTTTGAACCGATGAAAGCCAGCAAGAAAGTCCATTGTAATTCGTGAATGGTCGCGACCCAACTGTATTTATACATGTGCCACTATGGATCACAGTCTTAGTCAGTAACTATCCGTCTGTCTTCGAGGAAAAGGTTTTATTTGTTGGTCATTGCACCCGGCACTAATAAACTATTTAACTACAGTGCGTATTGAAATTTTTAAGTGTTGCAAAACAAATGTTGTGTTGTGAAAAGCTGACAAAGATAATAAGTGTTTTCTATTAAAAATGAGAACATTCCTTGTAAGTTTGTGGAAATAAAATTTTTTATGCATAATATTATATATATGCTGCAACTATATTGATTTTAACACACCAGCTTGAAATCGATAAGAAGTTATTGTCTTATTTTATCACAAAAACATATATCGTGGTATTTAGCCCTGCTCTAAATAATATAATCATATCAAATTATATAAAACAGGTTTTTGTAGTTTGAAATTTTAATTCATTGTTACCTATGTGACTAAGTATTTTTATAAGAGCTTAAAACTCTATGTTCAAAATTATTTCAATTTTTATACTAAATTTTTTAACATATACTATATTTTTAACATGTATTTTTACATTTAATCTTGTTCAAAGCAATTACTTTTCAATTACCATTCATGAACAGTTTGTCGAATTTTTACTGCACATGACACAAACGCAAAGTAATTATATTAGAAATTAATAATTAACTACTTCATAAACATTTAATAATTATTATAAAAGTGGAACAAATAAAATGTTCAATAATTATTTTGAGCTATATTTGAATACCCCTATTATTTAAATCGCGTTACAGTTTTTCAAAATGTCTATTTTAAATCTATTATAATATAATATGTATAATTAGCTAAAAATAACATCTTATTTTCCAGGTAATACTCTGTTTCAGTCTTGAAGCATTCTTCGTTCAAGCACTTTCAAATGTCGGATTAGAAGGATCTGAAACAAAAAAGTTAAATGACTGGAAAATCGATGGCACTGATATTTCATTAGAAGAAGAAAAATCACCTGATTCACAACGAAAACGAGATCCAGGATACTATTATGACAAACCAAATCGATTTATCTCTAATAATTATTTTCCTCCGTCAAGACATATATATACAGGAAGAGTGGTGAATAAGCTGCATAAACAAGTGAACCGTCCTTTCAATCAATATGGACCTCCAAAACATGGAAGTTCTTCGCCCAACCATAATCACCCAACAGCTACAAATACTATTCTTAATCAAGATGTACCTATTCCAATCAGACAAACTGAGTTCGTTGAAGAAAGTTCTATTGCTAGTCAAAATAATTTACCATTTGGTCAACATACAGCCAATTATTTACCGCCAAAAAATCAGAAACTACCTTCGTCTACTGCGCCTCATCTATTTTCAAATCAAAATCATGACTTTCCTAGACTACACCAACAACTACAACTACAATTACAGCAACAACAACAATTGAATCAACTAAAACAAGAACAACGTGAACAACAACTACTACAGCATCAACAGCAACAATTAAATCACGTGCAGCAACAACAGCTCACTCAAGTACAACAAGAACAATTTAATCAGTTACAGCAACAATTCAATCAATTACAACAACAACAATCTAATCAAGTACAACAACAAGACATACAGCTGCAAATTGGAGACCAAAATTCTTTCGGACAAGATTTTAATACTTTTAGTCAACAACAAAATGGATTTCATAATCAGCAAATATCAGATGCAGCATTGTTTTTAAGTCAAAATGCGCCAGCTATTTCTCAACTTTACGAAACTCCAGCACATAATCAAAATTATGCACCATACAATCAAGAGTCTCAACAAAGAGGTCATAATTGGATAACGAGTCAAAACTTACAAGTGCCAACACAAAATGATCTTTCGAATCAACAGTTACCGTCTCATTCTTCGGAAATACTTAATACTCAACGAACTCTTGAAGATATCAAATCTCTTGAGAAAGATAGATTGATAAGTCAGTTACGACTGCAACTATCTAACCGAGAAAATGCGGCAAGATTTGTGGAAAATAATGAAGATATTGGTAGCACACAAAACCAACACTCATTATCAGAAGTCTCTCCTTTTTCACCAAGCAATCCGTCACAAAAATTTGAACATATTGGGACATCATTTAGTCAATCAGAAAGTTTTTCTTCACCGTCGACAGCGATTGGTTCATCAGGATATCCAACCATTTATCCTCCACCTGTAGTTGTACAACCCACGAAACCTCCAGTCTTATCAACATCAAGTCCTCCTATTAGCACGATATTACCGCCTAATCATAGTAATAGTGAATCTGGAAGTACTCAAATTGGCTCAAGTTTACCTGCGCCAGAAAATACAAAGCCACCAACAACTTCTGCATATCCTAATTATGGAGGATTTGTACCAACTCTTGTTACTCCAGCAAACTTTGTACCGAACATTCCGTCATTTGGAACAGCATTGTTTCCTCCTTCAGTCATTAAACCAACTGAAAATGCTCCAACACATTTTGGTATCCCCATACCCACCTTGTTAGATGAAAACCCAGTGCATCCGTCGCTGAATCCACCAACTACTTTAAAACCTACGAGCATTTCTTTGCAACCCGGAATTTCGACAGTATCGATACCTTTAGGACCGATTCATCATTTCCCTAGTCACCCTCAAGTGATAAAACCAAGTCTAATCCCAATAGTTCCCGCTGCTACGTCCGTTCATCCAACATATGGAATACACCCAGCAGTCATAAATCCATCTTTTGTATACAAACCTGTTAAAGTATATCCTGTGTATCACTATCCTCATTTAGGATATTCTTCACCAGTGCGCAAATCAATATATTCAACTACAATAAAACAACCCTGGAGTTATGCACCATCTTATGGTCAAGCAAAACCAATTTGGAAATGAAAAATATAGTCGTAAAAATTAGTTTTAACTTATTACCTTCTAGTATTTTTAAATGTATTTAATAATAAGTGATGTTTTGTTAATGAGAAATGTATATTAAATATCTTAGTTGATATTTTTATATTTTTATACCTAACAGATAGATTATAGATTTATGTAAATATGAAATTTAATTTATTTTTTTTAATAAAAATACATGATTAATATAATAACATTTGTTTCAAATCTTCTACATTTTAAGTAATAAGTATCTAAGTAAAAACATCATAAAATTTGTTTTTACGATTAATAATTTATAATATTAATAACAAATTTCTATATTCAAACTAATTTCATATGGTTTCTTCATTGAGTTTTTTTAATGAACATGGACATGATACGCGGTTTTATAAAATATGAACAAATATTGTTAATTTTTTGAAAAAATACTATAATATTTAAGTGCAGTAATTTTAATTTTTATATAACAATCATTATAGTCTTATAATGGAGATGGTGACAAAAAAGAAAATCTCAAATACTTGGTATGAGCATGAGTACGAGTGAAAATAGAGCACTTCCGGTGAGCAATTCGACATAACTCTCGCTTCCATGAATGGCGATTTTATACACAACGCATAAAGTCAAGGTATGTATACACGTGATATAGCTTGGCCTTGGAACGACTTTTCTCGATTGACCTCAATAAACTTTTGATAATTCCAATCACGATAGTGCAGTCGGCTCTAGATCAAGTAGTCGCAAGCATACATAATATTATGTGCATGTGTATGTTACATTGTTGAGGTATAAAGATACGTGATAATGCCAGTAGTATTCTTTTATATATATGCATATTACTCTATACGATAACAATTATCGTGATATTCGTTATTCGTTCATTATTTATTTGTGTGATCAAAATGAAAGTGGAAAATTATAGTTTTTACACATTTTCAATTAGAAAGCTTCTGTCAAGTAAATAAAGCTAATAACTATAAGCGCATTTTCTAATATATATATACTAAGTTAGTACGTAAATATTTGTTTTTTCTTTTTTAACAGTTAATATGAATAATTACAGTACTGTATTGTATTATATAGATTGGAATCATCGTCGAAATATAATACAGGATAAGTAATTGAGCTTTCACTTATCATATTTAAATATTTCAATAATAAGATGTTTGCAGTTAGAAAAGTTAACAATATATTCGGATTTCTTTATAAATAGTTTTAGTCAATATTAAAAATGAATATAAAACAATAGTTTTATTCTATTGAATTTTCAACTTTAATCTTGAGTTATTTTTGACAAAACATTTATCTGTCTGATATAATAATAAAATATGATATCTAACAAGGTATTACTATTAAAATACACACACACACGCGCGCGCGCACGCACACACATATATGTATATATGTATTGTTTGTCAGGAAAATAAAAAAGTCAACCATACTTTACAAAAGTTTCGATTATTTTTTCTTGTTGTCTGGTTGACAACATACCTATAAAAGTAAATATTTCACTTTCACGTATAGACAACTCCACATTAACTCAAACTATTTTCATGTATTCACAGACGTGTCTCTGCACTTTTACCGTTCTTGCACTCACACCAGATCTTGAAAGTCAACATTCTTTGATTCATCAGTCCTTATAGGCCTTGATCGTGAAACCTTATCGAATGTTCCGCTTTTTTAATTCGTATGTTTCTTCAAAACTTGTATAGGATAAGATCATAGGTAACTCTGCAAACTAATCATTATTCGAAGTAGTAAATACTGATAGTGCCAATAATTGATAAATTTTTCTTATCCTAAATCTTCAAATGTTTCATGGCTTTTGTTTTTTCAAAGTATTTTACTACAAATAATAATAGAAAAGAACATAGAAATACCGATTTCTATAAAACAATCTTAAAAATATTCAAATCTATATCAGATTTAGCTTATTCAGTATTCTAAAATTTAATTTTTTTATTTATATAATATTCGTATGAATATGTGACCTTTATTAGCCAACGATAATAAGAGTTTAGTGGATAAAAAAATCTAATTATAACATAATTATAAGTGGACTATTTTCATTTAGTACTTAAGTTATTTATTGAATAAAAGTGATATTACATCATTGAACCAACTGAAGGAATTACAACGCATAAATTATTTTCATTTAAATTACGCTGTAATATAAAGAAGCTATTATGAGTATTTATTTTATAGAAGTATTTATTGCTTTCAATAAAAGAAAATTATTCTTTAACTATTGAAAAAAATTTGTATAGTCATTTCTTTTTTCACCGAAACATTTATTAATGAAAATTCTGACATTCTGATAACTTTTGAAACAACTTGTCAAATTACTTTTTTTACTATTTTTAATCAAAACCCATTTAATGGTTAAATGTAATATTTCGACGTTTTTTTACATAAAACATGTATTGTTTACATTGCTTATTAAAATATAATCCGAGTTTGAAAATTAAAGTTAGTTTAACTATTTTAAAGTCTATGTGTAGATAAAGTATGTGAGTTTCCACTATAATGCCTTGATTGGGCGGGATATACTTTGCTTTAAACGTGTGATCGGCATCTCACGACAGCAAGCCATGAATGCGTTCTCTAAAGTACGTATGGACTGGCTTACCTTCACCTAGACCTTTCGTTTCGCTAGAGTGCGGTTAGCGTTTACAGTTAGGGGGGATCGCGATATATAAGGATTCATCTGGTCAGCTGAAGCATCAGAGACACTACATCACTTTGTCTCGCTCCACCAACATCAATCACGCGATATGCGAGTAATTGTGAGTATATTACTATAATAATATGTGCTTTTGATTAATTGTAATAATATTGGAAATTTTAATGCGCGTATTTCTTGTTTAATTTAATTTATTATTATTTCAGAAAAGTGATACTAAATATAATTTTTGTCGGTTTTTGCGTCAATTATTTATCGCTCGAATATTTTTTTATTATAAACATCTACTAATATAAATTATTTTTTATTTTCAGATTATTTTTGGTTTCATTGCGACATTGTATGTCGTTTCATGCAGGGAGCATCGTTTAAACCATTCAAATAATCGAGATAATGGACGCCTCAGAAGATATAAGGATACCAAAAATAAGCGTGGTGCAGGCGACTATCCATTCGGTCTATCTTTTGGAGGTCCATCATTTTCAGCATTTCAATCATTATCCCCAGTGTCTACAGGTTCTCCATTTGGCTTTGGAGGATTCGGTGGGTTTGCGGGAAGTAGTTCACTAGGCATAAACCCTAGTTCGTATGGAATTTCAACGTCTTCTCCGTCATTTTCATCCTTGAGATCTTCAGGATTAGGAAATTTAGGTTCCTACAGCAGTTTAGCTCAACCTTTCAATATAGGCCAAGGTAGCGCATATATGCTGTCAGGATCCGGTTTAAATCTAGCTAACTTATTAGGAGGTCAAGGAAGCTCTGTAGCTAACTTGCTGGGAAACCAAGGAAGCTCTGGAACATCATTTTCTTCACCTAACATTGGACTTTTCTCATCGTCAGATATACAAAAAACTGGACCAGTGACATTTACAGCTCAAAGCAACAGTAATAGTCAAGCGCCACAATATACTCCAGTATATACAACTGCAACACAATTAGGATCCAACAGTTACTCTTCACCTACAGTTTTAAGCTCATCGCAAGGACATAATATTCAAGCCTACAGTCAACCATCTACCGTAGCAGTCAATCCATTACTCGGCAATAACGGAGTGATGTATAGTTCTCCATCTTCACCTTCATCATCTTCTTCTGCTGCAGACTTGGCATCTCATGCTGTTTCTAGTAATTATGTCGTAGCTACTCCTCAATCAACCCAGAGTTATAGCGTTCCTTTATCTGCTATAGCATCTTCATCTTCGCCGACATATTCAATTACCATCCCGGCTTCCTATGGTACGTCATCAACAAATTCTGCTAGTCCATCGTCATCTTCTATATATCAGTTGTCACTATCTCCTTCAACTTACTCGACATCTCCGTTAAGTTCTGCATCTAATGAATTCACAAAGTATATACCAATATCTTCTGATGGAAGTACGTACTTGAATAAAGGTCCTACGAATACCTATAGATTATCTACTTATTCAAGTCCAAGTATGGTATATCAATCTTCATCGAAAGCAACTGGACCACAAACAGCTTCTACTGGAATAAACTATGGTCCATCTAGTGGATCAACCCAGTCGGTAACAAGTTATGGAACACCTGTCATGATGTTAACCATTCCATCTACTAGTTACGGTACCCCAAGTCAACATACGTCAAACTCAAATTCACAATATACTTCTTCAAGCTCCAGAAATACGAACCCAAGTTTAGGTTACGCAGCAGCTGTAAGTTACTCAAATCCTAGCGTTATAAGCTCAAGTTCCTCTCATTCAACTGATGCTTTGCCAAAAGATCCAACTAATAGCTATGGATCATCTTCTTATACATCGTCAAATTCAAATTATGGATCATCTGCTACATCTTACACATCATCAAATTCAAATTATGGATCTGCTAGTAATCCTGTAGAATCTAACTCTATCTCTGGGTATAAAATACAATCACCTAGCTCAACGTCAAGCTTATCGAATTCAATAGAAAATTATTCATCAGGCAGTCAATCAAATACTCATGATAGTGGAACGGATTCAAGTAACTCATACTCAAATCACGCACCACGTTATATTAGATACCCTATCGATCGGCCATCTCCGTACATAGATAATGAAGAAGAAGAATCTGTGGGCAGTTCTTATGACACAATTTCATATTCTGTACCTAGCAAATAGTACTAAAGAACATTAGATCACATATTTGATCATTAACCAATCTTCACCAAAATTATTTTTCAAAAGCCATAATATTAATGCCAAGGTGTAAATGAGTTTAATTAAATTTTAGTACAAGTAAACGTGCACCTATTTTCATAACGAATGATTATATTGGTGCCTCAATATTTAGTAGTAAATAGTAATTAGAATAAGAGATTTGTACATAGTAAACAAAATGTGCACATTGTTAGTTTAATAGCTTCTTTCTATCATGATATTTGAAATACACTATATAAAAACAAATAAATGTTGAATCTGAAATATTTACCTCGGTATAGCTTCTCATTTTTCTTGTTATTTAATTGACTTATGTATTGTTATTTTTAATAATTTACACATAGCTTTAAACATTATTCCAGGGACGTTCTACCTATGAATTTTTGTAATGTTTTTAATAAAAGTAATGTCTCGATGTACTTTTCATCAAGATGTAACGAAATCGAATTTTATTGAATTATCTATTTTACTTTTCCAACTCCTATAACATAATTCATGAGTATAATTAATGATTTAATGTAATAAAAATTGTTTTTATTCAACTAAATCTGAAAAAAAATAATTACTTTTCCTTTCCAAATTTTTTCATTGAGATCAAATGCAACCGGTCTTTTGAGAATCACATAGTTCGACCTTCTATGAAATAAAATACATAGTTTTTGTTTCATTTTCTTTGCTATTGACATAACTGGATTGCTAGATCTGGTTTTCGAACAAGATGATCGGGTGGACACAGTCAAGTTGAAAAAAGACCTATTCGCTTTCATTTACTGCTTTTAAACATTCTTCTCAAGAATTTGATACTTGTATTAGAAAGTACACGAGTATACAATTTCTTTTATAGGTACTTGAGCAACTTTTTCAGAGCGTAAATCACCGAATATATTTTAATGTTATAAAAATGGATCGATTGACTCCTTTTTATGAATCGTAAACTACCACGTGTAAGTATGTTAAGTAGGTCTGTATAAAATTGGCGCAGTTAATTTATCTAAATTATAAAAATCTTGTTTCATATTTAATTAGTCAACAAATAAAATAAAATAAGATATAATACGAACGATAAATCGTAACGGCCATGCACAATGATATTGATTCCTTAATCATATTTAATGTATCCGAAGTTAATCTGTTTATACCTTAAAATCCTTTCATTAGAATGACATTAACAATTCGAGTAAAAATAAACTTATTCAATGCATCAACTATTTTGTTCAAAAAAAGTTCCATTGTCCACTTTCACTATTTATTAACAAGACAATTAACGTGAGCACTCGTATGAACGCATAGTTTAAGCATGTTTTCAATTAATCATATCAATACTTTCTTTTTAGTGAAATATACTTTTACATAAAGTTTCATATCAAATTGAATAAATGAATGTATAAGAGTTTTTTTACTTTAAAATCTTTAAATAGAGACTACACAGATAACTAATATTTATATTATTTGAATTTATTATTTTTTCATTATCATATTTAAAGACTTTCTGCTCATATATTTTAATATTTACATTTAACTTTGTTACAAAAAATTAAAGGCAGACACGATATTTTTCCACGTAATAAACATTAAATTCCGATGAATATGGTGATCATTATTAACAAAATCAAAGATCAGATATTTTCTCTCACGTTACAAATCTTATTGGACGTTTTTTATGCAAATAAATTTCTTGCACTAAGTAAACTATTTAATTAATAGGAGACATGTTCAACACACATATATGGTATGTATGTGTGTGTGGGTGTGTGTGTCGTGTTTTTCTTCGCTCATATATACATGCTTGTACATGCTTTGACCTAGTTTTCCCGCACCAGCACATGCAGTGAGTCTTGTCTACGGAAGGAGTCTTGTCTACGCACGAGCGTCTACGTGCGTGGCTTACTACGGGTCACGCCTGAAAAAAAATGTAATTTTCCATGATTTCGCACTCTGTATATCACACACTGGTGTGAAGACAAGATAGATTGTCCGACCTAATGTGAATTTGAGCGATTTCGAAATTTCTTTTACTCTTTCACTTGCATTATTATACCGAAACCTATTAAAATTCTTTTTCTTTGTACGTCAAAATTAATTGTTTAGATTGTACAATGTAAGTTTCATTTACTTTTTGATACTTATATGTGTTAGCCTCGTAACTAATTTTTATTATTTTACAATACGAAAATTATATCTTTACTTATTAATTAATTTATTTAGTAATAAATATGAGTTAATAATTAATTAGGATAGTATATAATATTATTTGTAATCAAATATTTAGAAATAAATGAAAATTCAAACAAATTGAACAGTATATTTTATATAAAAATTATCAATTCTTTCAGAAATAGCACATTAAAAATATAAAGAAACCTAAAAAAATTATGAATAGGAGACCGAATTTTTATAACTTCTGATTTCATTTTTCCATATCATCAGCTGATCATTATTAGATCATAAATGATTTTTAGTTTTGTAGATGTACCAAAATTCGTTATAGAATTTTTGCGAAGAAATTTTATTTTCTTATTCTGTAATTTGAAGATAATTATATAAGTTGGATAGCTATTAATATGAATAATTGTAGTTGATGGTATAGTTACAATAAAAACAAATTATTAGAATAACAAAGTCCAGACTCCGAATTCCAATAATTAGTAATAATTATCAATAGTGTTTTTTTCGTAGCAAAAAAGTAGTAGCATTCCATTCATTTATGATTTTTTTTTAATTGGAGTACACAATCGATAAAAATTTATTGGAAACTATATTTTTTATGATCAGTAATCATTTGAAATAGGTACCTGTATAATAGAAAGTGATTAGTTAAAAAAATTCTTGATTATACACTGACTGCAGACTTTGAAATACTTTTTTACTTGACTCAATATCGAAACCTTTTGATTGTATCAATTGACTATGTAGATTTTAATTGTAATGAAATTAAAATAATAGTTCATTCAAAATTTTTTATAATCATTGATATATTCGGGCACGTCATCTTTAGAAAGTCAGAATAATATTCGTTCATAATGACGTAGAATTTCCGATGAAAGTAAAGCTTTTGACCCTGAGTTCTTGTCTTTTCAAATGGCAAAAAGGCGTAGTTGGTGCAGTAGCTAAAGTCGTCCACTTCTCTTTGTATAATACTATCTCAATTTCTCGTGTGTTCGTCTCAATTGACTCGTTCTTGATGTCAGGTGAAAGTAAAAGCTGCAAAGGAGAGCGCGCAACTCCTCCTCGAGTGCAATGTCATCTTGGGTTTGTGTAGCGGTGAAACGAGGAAAAAAAAGCGTCGAATTAAGAGCGAAACCGTTCTTTTTTTGGTACCAGAAAGGAAGACGTGGAAGAAAAGGAAGGGGAACGAACGCCTCGATCGGCAGCTTTCGAACGCTACTACCGCGCCTCACAAGGAAAGAGGAAGCGGGAAAGTGATTTCAATCGGTTCGTATACACATACACTGGCGAACGCGAATATTGTCTTCGAATCTTCTGAGAATAGTATTGAGGGAGACTTTTATGGGAGACAACAGTGAACAATGCACAAGGGGGCCTTATCTCCGACCTCGAAGTGCTTTTAGTCAATCGACGCGGAGAATCTGTACGCGCACGCATACTACTTCAGCGCGCAGCGATATCGGCAATGCCCTGCGAAAGGAAACCGGGAAGCCATTTACTCTATTGTTGTTCCGCTCTGCAATTCTTTTTTTTCTCTCCTAGCACTTTTCTGTTTTTCTTTGCTCGTCGGTAAAACTGTTCATTCCATTGTTACGCTGAAAAAATTGTCATTTTCCGGAACTTTACCGTGCTATTGATCTATAACTTGTTGTAAATAAAAAAATATTCTTTTATAAGAACGACAGTTATAAGTCATTTTAACGTATAAAATAATTAATAAATGATTCATTTGATTCATACTAATTTTATTCACACTACAACATATTTCATTTAGTATACTTATTTAGTACACGTCATTCATCATCACTAATGAATATTTATGAAATTATTTGAAAAACTTCTTCTAGCTAAGTAAAAAAAAATTCAAAATACCTTTTCCAATTATGATAGTATTTAATTTATGTTGTTATCATCAAGCGTGATAACGATCATCATCCGCACAATTAAACACTATCAATTGAAGTGCAATCTAAAAAGTATGAAGAGATTGCAATAGAATTATTTATATTCATGGGTAATAACTAAACCATTTTCAAATTATATTTTTCCGATTTTTATGTGGTCAATTTATTTGGCTCGAGTCTTGAGAAACCGCGTGTTTCTTCGTTCTCGAGAAAGTTACTTTACAATTTACGACGCGGCTAAAGAAAATAGAGATTTACTTCAAGTAAAATCATTTATTTTTAAATGTCAGAATTGACAACATGCTAATAGCATGTTTAACAACTAGAATTCCTTTGACCAAAAGGTTTTATATGTGTAAAAAGAGTAAATACGTGATTCGTCACGAAAACATTTTTTTTCTCACGTATTTCGTTAATATACTTTTGCAGGTTCTCAAGAACGGATTAATAGCGTTTCACTTCTCTGTGGATAAAATCGTAAAAAACTTTATCTCACGAAACAAAATTGGATAAGCGTTTTCGCGCTTGCTCAACAATTGTATCAACTTATAAATTTAACGATGCTACAGCTATTACAGTATACCGAACAATAGTACATAATTAAATTGTAAAAATATAAGTGTCCTTCGAAGTTTTAAGAGTCCGACTTTAAGTTGAGAATGAAGATCTTGTTAAGTACTACATAAAACTTGTATAATGCAGTCCACAATCAAACATTTTCCCAATTTTCCGGAACGTAGTTTGCTCTTTTTGGACAACGCACGCACGAGTTCGCGTATATGTGTACAATTCACCATCATTAAAACGCTCTCGGTGCAACGAGCACCTCTCTCTCTCTCTCTCTCTCTCTCTCTCTCTCTCTCTCTCTCTCTCTCTCTCTCTCTCCCTCTGTGCTCTTCTAACCCAGCAAGTGCAATTTAGTCTTAACGACTGCAAGCCTCGACGAGACGAGATACACCGGTCTATCTGCGCGTTTTCACCGTCTCTGTAAGCGCGCGGGGCGTGTGCTTGGGCGATACGTGCCGCATGTAAGTAGCAGCAGTAACCGGTGAAAAGCTAAACTAGTTCTTGCTGATTTTTCAGCCGACCGGGTATAAAGGAGAAATTCAGTGTCGGTTGATCTATCATTGACCATCGAACCGTACAGTCGTGAGGTTTGCGAAAGAACAAGTGTGGTGTTTTTGTAAACTACGTGGACTCAACAAATCAATGACCACTAGATTCGTGAGATAATTATTTTCCTCTCCAAAGGTCATTGAGATCACAAAGCTGTTCACAATGAATCTGCTGGTTAGTACGCGTTTTAATTTGTTTAATAGATTTATTTTTTATTTGAAAAACTATTGCAAATTATGTTTCAGATCCTTATTCTTCTTCTATCTCCGGCGGTAATATGTGCACAGCGACATCGCAAGAGTACAAATCCCAACGATGAGCCTTTTTTACCAATCCATCCAGATTATCCATACAGTCCCAAGTTAATGAAACGCGGCCTAGAGAATCAACAGCAGCAACCACTGCAGCAGCAAATTCAATCACAAACCTACGCCCAATTAACCCCAGAACTTTACGCTCCCAAGGTTGACGCGCGTGACGCTTACACGCCGAGTTACGCACAAAACCCTTCTTATTATACCAACTACGACCCTTTAAGTAAAATTACAACTGCAGCCTCGTCAACGCCCAATGCTTTAAGTATTTCGCCATACTACCAGTCACCTTATTCTTCGTACAATACTAATCCCTACTCCCTTTTAGGTTCTTACACTTCCCCTTTCGGACCTACAGCTGCTAATTATGCTGCTGCAGCTACTCCAAGTTTCGGAGCGTCGCCATACGCTAGCTCCGGAGCTTATAATAATTACTATTACCCACAACCACCTTACTACTACCCTAATTACTACGGTCAACCACCTTATCCACCACCTCCCCCAGGGTATCCTGGTAGTCCACCCAAACATCCATATGACGATTATGACGATGAAGAAGAATATGAAAAACGGCGTGAGAAAAATAGCAAGAAAAGTGGGCATCACAAAAATAGGTTGAGACACTCCGACAGAGATAATCAATACGTCGATGGTGCCAACTATATCGTTTCTAGTGCGAAGGATCTGGATAGTGAATCAAGCACTCACCGTACACCAGTTCATTATAATAAAATTGAAGACTCGGACGTTCAACCACGAAACACAAACTTACCAAAAGCAACTTACAGACTCCTTGGGGTGTCCAATCAACAGTCAGATTTCAATTCTTCACCTCTTGGTTACATTAAAGTACAGCAATTGGAACAGCTTATGCGACAAGCTTTAGCAAAACTTTTAGCTCAAAATGCTGCGCATCAAGCAAACCTTGCACAAATTCAACAGGAAGCAAACCAACAACTTATTCCTAAAGAATCAGCTCAACAATATATCTCTGTACCATCAGGCATCGCTAAGACGGGCCTGAGTTACGTTGTCAATCCAACAATCCTCAATAGAGTCAACGCGGGCCAGTATAATCCAAGTCAACTTATACAAACGCAGTCGAACAAACCTTACGCTCAGAAAACGTCAACCAGCGTAACCTTGCAACACTCACCTGGAATTTACATTCCACCAATCAAATCTACTGATCAGTCTACTCCTCCGGAGTACGGTGATTATGATTCGCCTGACAGTGCGACAAACAGGAGTCCGTCTACTGTTGAGCCTACGCATTATCCTTATTCAACATATCGTCCGACGCAACAAACAAGTCTTGAGGACGTTAACTTTGGTACTAAACAAAAAACGAAAAGCTAGATAAGTTATTCGCGTTTATAATAGTTTGAGGTGAAATTAGAATATAAGATATTATTGTGTTCACTTGTGATTTATGTTAAACGCGACAAAATCATCATAACCGAGAGACTGCGAATATTGTTCAAATGAGTAAGAGAGATTTTGATGTATAAATCCTTTGTGTATTGATTGATTACGACTAATAAACAAACAACACAAATCCATTGTATCAATAATAACATAATTTTTCAGCTTTTTTGTGCTACAATCGTTGTTATTCTAAAATAATGAAAAAATTCCTGTACTTCATAAAATCGTGTAAATAAACAGCAAAGAAATTGTTATTGATTTTCTTTGTTTTTTCCTGAACATCTTTCATCCTCAAATATTAAAATAAATATAAATACAATACACATATACTGAAATATTTTACTTTGTATGAATGAAAAAAAGACTTTTGAATGATTAGACTGTGAGTGATTAAAATTCCAATCACGACAAGCCGATTTACGATCTGAAATAATTAAAATTCCGAAAAAATGTTATGGAAGAATCCAAGGTAGTGCATCAAAGTCGTAAAAACAACTTGATGCATAACAGTTTTAAGAGGTAAAGTTTTATAGTTTCATTAGTCTCCTAGCTCACCGTTCTTTTATTTTTCCCCGCAGTTCTGATTAATGAATTGGCTACTCTCCTTTTTTAATTACCAAGTCTGATTAATGCGCGCATAGCTGAAGCGCTCGTTCGCGAAACTCACGGGCGCATTCATATTGCTCCTATCTTCTTCCCTTTTAATTAGATGTCATTCCCAACTCAAGTTCTCTGTCTCTCTTTCACCCTCACTCTCACACTTGCAAGTCTTTCGCGAAAAAGATCATCTCGTTTTTTCTTGCGCGCGCGGTCAGATGAAAAAGGAGACGAGATGAATCACGCGCTTGTGGCGTACGAAAGTGTGCGGGGCACGCGCACAAGTGCGGGGAAAGGTATAATAAATGGTATAACGTGCAACAGGAGATGTTTCTTCAGATTTTCATGAGCTGCAACGCGAGTTTCTCGCGATGGAGCGATCAAGAATAGAAATGAAAAACGAGAATGAGCAAGTGTACTTTCCGTAAGTGTTGAAAATAGAAAGCAACGGACACGTACGAGAATTATTAATATAGAAATTTTGCACTTTTTTGTAACACTTGTGAGCATAATATTTGAGTAACTGCTCAATAAAAAAAATATATACAGAGTGATTATCGAAAAATCATACTCTTTATCGAACTCAATTCAATTAAGGAACCATTGCAGAAATATTGTTTAAAATTGCCACGGCTACAGAGCCAATTAAATTTTTATGAGATTTTCACCAATGAAAATATATTATTCATTAGATTTTCGCTAATAAATTTTTATTTACCTAACATTGTACACCGCGCAGAGTTTCTGGTCAATTTTCTGAAAGTAGTTACACTAAGCAATTTGAAACGAAAAAATGAAAAATGTTACTCAAAACGCAGGTACCTATATAGATATATATAAATCTTAGAAATTAGTAATTAAGGTTACATTAATCATTACGGGGTCATCCTCACAGTTAAAAAACCAAATTTAATATCATTGTGGAATAAAACTTTTCCACTCTCGTGTGCACATATTGCCTTATTCATATTCAATGCACAAAATAAGGAAAGAAAAACTCTCCCTGTGCACATGCCAACACGTAACGCAAAAGCGCTCTGAAGCAAATCGGCTGGACCGAAGCACTTTTACTTTCTCGCGTGTCCCGCTGACCAGCTCAGCAAGGTTGCGGTCGTGAGAAATGAGTAAGAGTATTCGCTACATACACATTGCTTGTCGATTATCCATTACTTTCAATGCTACACGTATACTTGTTATGAATAGACTAATTGCGTATCGCGCAAGAACCAAGAGTTGTAATGGAATTTTTGGAAATTGATGGAATTTAAGTCGATTCGTGGCGACGCTTAGTGATTAATACGAGAAATTCGAATGGGAAATTGTAAAAAACGGAATTTTATACTAATTGAACTGAAGAAAGTAAAGAAAGATGGTGTGATATGATAGCGCTATTTCAACGTTGGCAGTTCTGAAATTGCAATTCAGCCTTGATGAATGATAGTGTTTTCACTTTTTCTCTATGATGTTCTTCGATATAAATTTCGAGTTGTTTCGTGTTTACATTAAATTTGAAAAAAAAAACATTACAAGTATAAATACCACGATTAAGTTATGTAAAAAATTCAAATTATATGTGTGCGAGAGCGCAACTTTTTAGTGCATTATAAAATGAATAAAATTTTTGAGATATTTTTATAAGATGCATCAGTGAGAGAAATTTATTTTCGCTAAATCAATATTATTGTTAATACGGATATCACAAACGAATCTGACTTTCAGAGACGGAGTTTTTTATAATGCGAAAAGAAACATAATATATGCAAATTAACATCACTTCAGTACTTCTTACTAAAGTAATAAGTAGTCAGTTGAAGCATTAATAATAGTAAATGTACTTGAGTTAAAATTTTTAAAACGAACAATAAACTGTTTACCAGCCAAAGCAAGATGTTTCATTCTATCAAAAGAAAATTAACCATATGTCCTCCATAAAGTTCAGATATAAGGCTCTCAGCTTGATTTATCTAGACGAACGACCCTTGAATCTCGGTAATATCCATCACACAGCGATATTGAATATCGTCATCTACATGAAGAGAGCCTTCTGCAAACGAGCCACAGCAGTAAATGGTATAGATAGGGCACGACGATCGTTAAGACAGACGTTTGCTTCGGCGGTCGCCAGCGCGCAAGGCGAAAGTTTCTTAATTGGGATTATATTCCAATGGTCATCCACTCGTTCTCCGTAAATTCCACATATAATATGTCCACGCGCAATCCGTGTCCATCGACACACACACACGCGCGCGCGCTCACCCAAACACACACACACACACACACACAAACACACACAGCAGATTCTATCAGTCCAACGGAATCTCAATCTCTCTCTCGAGAAAGTCGAGCGCGCAGATTGCCTTTGTCGCACGACGGCAGGGGATTCGCTGCGTGCAACGTTATATATTCGTCGCTCGTTTAACCACTATGAATAATGGAGAGGATAGCTTTTCCCGCGCGCGCCCGCGAAAAACAGCTTAGACAACGTGTGATGACTATACTTTGATTTATGAAGAATTGGAGCTTTGCTTTTATCTCAACGTTCTTAAACGCATTTCCACCATGATTGACAGCTCTCCGCGGAAGCTAATCTACTTTATAGATTCTTTTGCATGTTACTCTTGAATTCCGAGTTGATAGTAACTGTGAACGTTGAATTCATGTAAATCACCTCTCGAAAAATTCACGAAACTATGACATTAGTTAATAAGCTTATTAATGTTTATTTTGTTTCTTTTTAGTTTCGAATTTGGAATTCAAATTAAAGGCAATATTATATCGAAATAAAACGTTTGAACTTCCAGAAAAAATATCAAATAGAATTTATTAATAGTTTTATATTTATTAATATTATATAGTATAATGTCTATTAATATTATATATTATGTTATAATATAATGTAAGTATCAAAGAAAAATTTTCCGTAACTGCTGTTATTATTGATAAAAAAAAAGTGATTAAAATATGCAAGGTGAACAGAATATTTTTAAGACGCAATATGCCGCGAGTGCATCAATAAGGGTTATGAAACAACAATCATCGTTCGCAGAAGCAGCTTTCTTTTCTGCAAGATGACGTGCGAACTGAGCAGGTGATACGCATACTAAATTGTTTTTGATGAAACGTAAGAACTATTTTTGAGTCTCAATATCCGTCAAATAACCAAGAGATGAGAGTTCAAATTTATATACTAAATCATTGTAAGATATGTATTATTAAAATTGTTTCATAATAATTAATATCGTCATTGATAGCAGCACTATTATTCGGATTTTCCATTTGAATAACAACTATCTAAACGCTCATTACATCTAATTAAAAATGGCTTTATAAGAAAATTTTACATTTAAAAGTTATCAGTATTATTTCTCAAGAAAATATTCAGGAACAATATTGTTTTATCATAAATGAGACTAGCTTTTATTTATTGTATCTATCATTTTCATCTTTTCATCGTTACTGCATTTAGCAAAAATATAATATCAAAGATCACCATTTATCACTGTGAATTCTTTTATGGAATAGATTACATTATTGTGTTGTGTGTTTGTGTGATTCATAATTAAGATTAAATAAAGCTGCTTGAGAATAAATTGATATCAAAACTTTTTATGATCATATTTATTGCATTCAGTAACGAATATGATTATATAAAATTAATTCTGATCGCTGTGTATCCTATTATAAAATACAATTGAATTGTGCATTCGAGTGAATTTAACAAACATAAAAATGAAACCGCAACATGTGCTGTTAGTATAAAAATTCTTTCATGCTGATATTACTTCTTTGTAACAGAATACTTTGATATCTGAAATTACAATTATGGTTTATGTATCCATTTGTGAATCATACAGCATCACTAAACTGTATGTTTCATAACATTAAATTTAAAGCGTTGCTAATTCTTTTATGAAAAGTATTATTAATTGCATCATTATGCACCCACAATCGAATAAATTCAATTGAATGGAAACGAACAGTGTAAGCGTTCAGAAAAGAAATTTTAAAATAAAAAAAAGTAAGCCCAAAGTGAAATTTATGTGTTGAAGCTTGAATAAAATATGAACGTAAAAGTGCATTATAGTGGGCGACGAATAAAATAACCTTCATCTTGACCTTTCGTGAGCGAGTTAAAGAAACCTCAGTGATATTGCTTACGAATACGGATGTAGTATAATGGAGGGTCGGTGACTCATCCGCAGGGTGATTAATTTGCTAGCCTGAGCCTGTTTACGTATGCATTTTCGCAGTTCAGCTCTATTCAAATTTTATGGTTTTCCGCTTTCATCTCCTTGCTATCCACTCTCAATCGGTTACAGCTACAGATCTTCCGG